AGGAGCTGGAATTGGAGTTGAAGTTGGAGCTGCACATAAATGGCAAATGTTAAGAAATTCCAAATATCTCATACAAATTACCAAAAGGCAAAGCTGACGGCAAGAAAGAAACTGAGATGCTCTCTGAGGCCAACGAAAATGATATTTTGCGCAAAAGCCGAATGCCGAATGCCAAATGCTGCATGCCCCAAAACGCAACAAACTGTGCTCTGACCGCTTGGGAATTTCAGCTGATGACGAAGACGATGATCGTCTGGGCGTCTGCGACGTTGATAATTAATAACAGACAGGCCGAAGAGCATAAAAACGGGCCCAACACCCAATCACAAAAACGCACGCTGCGGCCGCAAAAGGCCAAAACCAGCCCAGCCAATGGTAATGGTATTGCCAAGATCGCTGCGGTAGCTGCCCGGCCCATTGGCCACGAAAAAAAAAAAAAAAAAAAAAAAAACAAGATAAAATAAAACAAACCAGGCAAAAAGTAAACCAGAGCCAGACAAGTCTAAAGCAGACATAATCTCAGACAAGCAGGAATGTCAATGGAACTGGTAGGCACTGCAAAACTTGTCTCCGTCAGCGATTAAGATCACAAGATTCAACGATCTTCGTTGCTCGATGCACGATCGACGATCAACGATCAACGCCTACTCTGGCTGACAGACGACACGACAGCAACACGTTAAGTGACAGTGACAACTGTGCAATTAGAATCCATGTTAGCTATGACAACTAATTGAGGAACTCACACGATCAAACGATCACCGGAAGATTGTACAGCTTATCTGCTCATGTTGTGTTCAGTTTTAGCTGCGCACACATTTCAATTCACAGTTCGAGCCATGATAAATTATTGAATAAGCCAGCCACACGATGACATGATCACACGATCGGTTCAAACGAGAGCAGCTAATCTGAAAACACAGTTGAATCCATTATCCATTAGCCTAGAGCAGAAAAAAATGTACAAGCTTGTAAGCTATAGTGGCTTTGAAGAACCCACACGATCACACGTTCACTTGGAACTAGATCAGCAACAGACCACTATCTACATTTCGAGAAGAGTTAAGATCTTTAAGCGTGTGTCCTAATAACATCCACAACTCCAATCAAAATTTATTGAATAACCCAAACGATAACATGGTCCATGACTAGATCATCTACAGACCCCAATTAGACCCACATTTGGAACTGATTAAAGATCTTTAAGCGTAAGTCTCAATATCAACCGCAACTCGAAGCAAAATTCATTAAATAACCCACATGATCACACGATCACCAGGAACTAGATCAGCTACAGAACACAACAAGATCTACTTTTGAAGCCGAGTAAACATCTTTAAGCGTAAATTCCATAGAAGTCCATAGCTCGTAACACACGATCGCACGATCAATTGATCTTAACATATAATTTTATGTGTTAGTTATAAAAATCGATGATAACTAATTGGAGAACTCACACGATCGCCAAAAAATAAAGAATCTCCTGGCTAATCTACGCATACAGTCTGATCTACTGCCCCAATGGAGCTCCACTGACTGGACTGCCAGACTAACTGACCGATCGATCGATCGATCAGTCGATGATTTTTGCAACTGCTATCAGAATTCACATCACGCAGCAGTCGCTTGAAAACTGATTAAATGACACAAAAACAATTAATGCCTATGGCTGGTAAATCAAATGTGATATTGCCAAGGACAAGGGACAAGGCAGTAGCAGAAGCAGCGCCATGGGCCCGAACGATTTATAGCCCGAATGGAATGTGCCACGATGTGCACAAAGATCAGAGAGATGAAAATCGCCACAGCGAACGCGCACTCGATAATAAAAAACAATTTAGCTGGACGCGTAGTGCTTGCAGGGGATGGAGGGGGCGGGAAGTTCAACTGGGGCAAGGCAGCAACTGCTCGAATGATTAAAACACATTAAAAATCCAGTAGCCGCAGAAGAACCCAAAGACTGAAGACGGAGATTGAAGACTGCGAACACAGCCGAGTCTGAATTTCAGTTTCAGTTTGAGTTTGACGACTTTTTCCACACATCGCAGCCGCAGCCAACTAATTTCATATTTTTCATGCAATTGCTGAAATTCCGTAGCGCCCCAAAATGTATCTGTGTGTGTGTGTGTGTCTGTGTATGTGTGTATCTGTACCTGTGTATCTTTTGCTCTTGATGGCCGGGGACTACCTGTTGCGACGTGTTATTAGGGCGACGTATTGACGACAAGCAAACGTCAACCCAAACGTCAGCTCATCATATCATCGATTGATGCGAGAGTGCCCCCTGACTGTGCTCCCAGCTCCCTCTCACCCGCCCCTTTGGCGCTGGCTGCCACCACTTTTTGGAGCTTGTTCGGCTGCTTGTTTGGAATTTTGTAGTTTGTGCAGACCCAAAAATGTTGGGTCCCCTCTAATTTTGGGCCAGAGTCCCGGGTTCCAGATGCCTGCCCCTCAAGGTGGTGATATTTCTACAAGTTGAGATTGTCTCTCGAGTTTTTGGGTTTTTTTTTTTTTTTTTTTTTTTGCTACCCTTTGCCGCGGCTGCTGCGCTTTAATGAGGATTATTAAATGCGAGATTATTATGTGCTGCAATTACTTTTCGCAGCCACTGTGCTGCCTGGCTACGGCTGCTTCTTCTCTGCGCTGATTTATTTTATTGAACCATAAAAATGTAAATTTTGTCTGAACAAAAGACAAAGTTAATCGTTGTCAATTATGGTCTTTGACAGGTTAATATTCCTCCTGGTTGCTCCAGCGGCAGATCTGGAGCACACTGATAGGCTTTACTATATAGTTTCGAGCTTAAAGATTAGCATATTATGCGGGCACAGGATCAGCTGGACGGGCACTCTCTTACATGGTGTATGCCGCTGATTTGGCCGCTGGCAATTCAGTTTCCGGCCCTCGAGGGTTGGCGGGCAGGGGGGGTCAGCGGGGCGCGGGCAACTACCGCTATTAACATAATCACAACACGAGTCTGTCGGCCGGCGGGGCTGAGGGCAACCGAAAATTACGCACGGCTCGAGATCAATTTTTGGCGGAGACCGCATCACTGCAGGGCGATCAATTAAAATTTTGATCGAATTTTCGTCAATTTTTTGACATGTGGCCAACAGAAGCCAACAATGGGGCGTGGCACTGGGCAACCGGACACAGTCTCTGCCGCAGTCGCCGTCGCCGTCGCATTCGTAATATGCTGCACTCCGGCCAGATCAATGTAAGCTGAAATTGTCGGGCACTTGCCTTGGGCCAAAAAGCTGCTCGACTCGAGCTCCACTTTGGCTCTGTTCCAGCCCCAGTCCCAGTTCCAGTCTCCGTCCCAGTCCCAGTCCCAGTCCCAGTCTCTGGCCTGAATGAAATTGATTAAAGCGTAAATGAATTTTGTGGCTGGGCAAGACTCTGACGATGATTATAACATAAGATCGATGGCTGCTGTCGCTGATCGCTAACTCGATGCGGCTACTGTAGAAAGCAGACGCCGTCTCGATCGGGTTGCTCTACAGCATGCCAAAATGATGCACACTATTTGCTACCTCTTATTAAATTCCGCAGCAAGTTTCTACCCTGCATTCCGAGAGAAATAAGCAAGACTTCGTCTTACATGTTGAGCACATCAAATGGCAAATGTTTAGGAATATATGCAAAATATTTAAACACAATTAGACGCTAGAATAAAGTTATATAAATTATATAATTTAAAAGAAATTTGCATTTTGTAAGGGAATTAGACAGTAGAATATAGTTCTTTAACTCCTTATGCAGACTGTTTGTCCGGGATTCAGTTACGTCTATTGCCAGGGTATCTTATAGCCTATCATTCTTAGCTGCATTTGCCGCACATTTTTGGCACATCGAGGCCGTGGCAAGTTTTTGTCTGGCATTTGACAAACTAGCCAGAGGCAAGCGCAGCGCAGGAGCAGAAGCTGGCGAGTTTATGGTTCTGGTGCTTAGGCAACGTTTGCAACCTTCGCATCGGCGCGATTTAAGTTTATCCGCACGATCAGCGCAGATCCGAATACCATAATTTTGGGGCTCAAAAAAAATCAGAAGAAATATGTGTAGGAATTCCTTGCGTGCCAGGCGAAGAGCAGGCCCAATAAAAAAAAAAACGAGCAGGACCAAACGGTAAACGGTAGCCAGAGCTATAATTGAGGTGCCCGGTTCCAGAGATTCCCTAGGCGCTCCATGTTCCATTTACCCTGCGTGGCTTATGCGCCTTAGCGCGTCGGCAGGTCGCTGGTTCAACTTTTTCACTTGCCACTCGATTTCAATGCTTCAGTCGCTTATTAATAGCTCCAATAAAACGCGTATTGTATGCAACAACAAAAAAAAAAGAGGAAGAGTTGCAAGAAACATTAATTTAGTTACGCTCCGCTGAGCGGCAAAGAGTTGGGATCGATCCGTGAAGCGGGCCTGCGAGGGGGGGTGGAGCGTCTCGGTGGAGTCTTAAGCCTCGCGTCATTAAAGACAATTTCGTGATTCGCCAAATTACCTGCCAAATTATAGAAAGCAAACAAACGAGCGGCGTACACAAATCAATAGAAATCAACGCCTGTCAGCAGCTTGGAGTCTTGCAAACTCTTTGGAGAGCTGCCACTATCGATGCGAGTTTGGGCCATTGTGGACTTAATCAATCAATACAATAGAAATTTGGGTTGTTATTTGTAGGTGCACAGAATAAAAGTGAAGAATCAAGTGAAATTTCTGCGCATTGAAACCGAATCAACACTTAGCTAGACAAATACATCAATAGACACTTAAATAGTTATAGTCCGATGCTGGAGTTGGGCACGAGCAGGGAGAGAAAACTCGATTCCGTCTGAAGATTTTCATTTTCTTGCTAAAGCGTGCTATCAATATTAAGAATCAAACATTGAAAGTGTGACCATATTTACCAAACTTAAAATTACTTTAATAAAAAATGCTTTTATCGGCGGGACTTATTTTCCCGATCCCATTTCTACTCGATACTCATCTGTACTCATTTCTCGCACACACAGAGCCAGGCCCTGGCGCTCACCCGTGCGGCCAATGCGGCAGCTGTGGTTGCCGCGGCCAATGCCAATGCCAATGCCAAATCGCCATCGGCAGCCGCCAGCCTGATGGACATGGCCGTCAAGAAGGAGCATTCCCTGTCGCCGACGCACAGCGTCATCGCCGAGGATGCCGGCGCCGGCCTTGGCCAATTGCAGCACAGACGCTCCTCGCTGCAGGGCGTGCAGGAGAAGCTGACACAGCTGCAGATGCAGCATCAACATCATCAGCAGCAGCAACAACAACAACAACAGCAGCAGCAGCAGCAACAGGCTGGCTCTGAGGCAGCGAATGCCGTCGGGCGACGCTCCACAGAGGGCAGTCCGCCTGCTGTGGGCCTGGTGCCGCATCAACATCAGCTGCAACACCAACAACAGCAACAACAACAGCAGCAACAACAACAGCAGCAACAACAGCAGCAGCAGCAAGCGCAGCAGTTGCAGCAACAGCAGCTTTTGCTCAACTCGGACGCCGGCAGCGGCAACGCGTTGTCCTCTTCGGCGGGCTCTAGTCAGAATGCCTCCTTGGCGGCGACACCGAAGAGCGAGCGGGAGCGGGAGCGAGAGGAGCGCGGCAGCATCTCCTGCCTGCCGCCAGCTGCTCTGGGCATGGCCGTGGGCGTACAGGCACAGCAGCAGGCCGAGAAGCTGCTCAGCCATCCGGCCTTGGAATCCCGACGCGACTTCGATGTCAGCAAAGTTAATCGTGAGTACCCGAAATAAATATATAAATAAAATATTAATATTTAATTTAATAGACATTAAGTTGTTTAATGTTGAGGAAAGAGAGAAAGTGAGAAATGCTGAGATGAGATGTGTAGTAAAAAAGTCAACGAGCGAGAAAGATGTAGTTAGAGAAAATATAAATATATAGAACATATTTTTATAGAGAGAGAGAGAGAAATGGGGTGCTGAATATAGAGTCAGAGAAGGAGAGAAAGGAAGAGAAGCAGATAGAGAATTTACAAACAATTTACATACAGAGAAGACATAGGTTGAGTTAATGAGAGAGAGAAAGAGGTATGCAGAGAGAGAAAGAGCTGTTTAGAGAAAGGGAGAGAGAACAAGAGAGAGATGTATGGAGAGCGAGATGCATAAAGAAAGAGATGTATAGAGAAAAAGATGTATGGAGAAAAATATGTTAAGAGATAGAATGAGATGCATAAAGATGGAGAGAGAAAGAGATGTATAGAGAAAGAGCGAAAGAGAGAAAGAGCTATATGGAGGAAGAGGGCGAGAGAGAGATGAGGAGAGCGCAGAAAGAGAAGTGTAGACAAAACGATGTCAACTTTTTTTAAACTATTTTGAAAGCCTTTAAATTTACATAAATTTGCCTAAACGGCTTTCAAAAGAGCTTTTGCGGTTTAGTTTTTAGCCAACGTCATAAAACCAGTTAGTAAATGCGATGTTTAATACCAGCTAAGCATAGAATACATTAAAGTGTACGCAGAAAATCCCACCATAAATCGCTTTACACAAAATCATTTTATATAATGTGCTATATCCAGTTGAAATTCGAATATTGATTAGATTAAATTAGAAAAGTTTCCACTATTTTGAGGCAGGCAGCAAATATATATTTGAATATATTTATATACCTCAAATCTGATTAGAAGAGGCGCCCTCCCTCAGTATTGGAATATTGCAATCAAATTGCGACTAAAGCCGAACGAAATGTTGCATAAATCACACAAATCCATGAGCCTAAATCCCGCCCAGCGAACGGTAGGGGTCGGAGTCGGGGTCGGGGCCGGGTTCGCTTTGCTGTTTCCGTGCCGTCACACAAATACCCTTAATCCGGCTGCGATAGAGTATCAGCCGCTGTGGGGCGCTCAATAATAGAGGGGCAACCACATCATTATAAAAATGCCAGTGGCCGAAGCCTTTTGTGCCACTCGCAACTGGCAACTGGCAACTGGTGATTATGTGTGTGCCCCATGTTGCATGGCAGCTTTAAGGATTTGTGCAACTTTAACCGGGTTATGAACGTACGCAGAATGTGCAGGCTACACACACTCTCCACCTCTGCCCCTCCCTCTCTCGCCATCGCTCTCACACACATCCGCTTCTGGTTGTCGCTTCTTTGAGTGGCCTTCTGCTGCGGTAATCTTGTTTAGTTCATCAATACTAGTTTAGCCATGGACAAAGAGTCTAGCTGTACGCATTCACAATCATGTACAGATACAGATACATAGATGCAGATACTTGTAGCTGGTAGCTGGTGTATCTGTCAGATAGATTGTCGCTGCCGAATATAAAATCCTTTCGCATACGAATACAAACAGAGTCTGTTCGTTTGGTTCTGTTTGGCATAACAGACACAACACAACACACACTAACACACACACAAAGTACACACACACTCATCGTATATGCATCCAAATCCCCTGGATTAAGCATATGAAGCATTCATAACATTTATTTTACCTTCCATCTGGCAACGACTCGCCCTCTCTCGCTCTCCCTCTCTCACTCCCTTTCGCTCTGTGTGCAAACAAGCATTCGTTTTGCTTTGGTTGTGGCTGTCGAGAGCACGAAGAGACACACATACACACGCACACACGCATACCCACCCACCCACAATAAGAGTTGTTGTGTGCCGTTGCCTCAAATGAACGTCAACAGACACTTGTGGAGCTATTTTGGCCATGTGGCCGTGTCTGTGGCCAATACAACAACAACAACAACTACAACAACAAGGCTGCGGAGGCGTGACAGTTTCAGTTGATTCCTTCGCCTCCTTGTGCCGGCACTCGCGGCGTATACGCAACGCTTTCGCGCTGCTCTCTTCTTTTTTTTTTGGGTGTATTTGCCTTTTAGCTCAACAGTTTGTTGTGGTTTTACGGCCAATTCCGGCAGCAGCAGCGCTTGTAAGTTTTCAATTGCCAAGCGAAAGGCTTCAGTTGTACAAAGTGAGCTACAGTGCCAGACAAATGTATGAGTATGCCCAGAATATGTAGATAAAATTGATAGAGAAATGCTCGATTATAATGTATATTTATATGCGAGAGAGGGAGAGAGGGAAGATTAACAGATTCTATATGAAAATATTCAAATACGAAAATATGCTGCTAGATTTGAACCGATGACTTGCTGCTTGCTAGTCCGACGCCTAAAGATCTGAGAGCAAGATAGAGAAGATAAACAAATTCAATATAGAAAAATGTTGCTAGATTTGAGCCAGCGACTTACAACTTGCTAGTCCGACGTCTAGACATCTGATACATTCACATTCTATGTCCAGTAATCAGCTTTGCCTTATATATGGCAATATTCTCTCTAGTATGCATTCATAAATTCGCTTTACTGCTCAGCATATTCTGGAATATTTTTGGTAATCCGCTAATATTTGCATAGAGCATATTTTTGGAAACGTTTTGCATTGCATTTAATTTGAAAGAACGTTACGAATTGAGCCAAAATTTTGCTGCTGTCCCTGTTGCTGTTAAGCTGCTGGCTAAATCGTTGCCTCTGCTGAGGAGGGATGTGTGTGTGTGTGTGTGTGAGGGTGGGGTTGGGGTTTGGTACGAATTGAAAGGCAGCCCCCAAATGGGGGGGGGGGGGGGGGGGGAGGGGCAGGGTCGGATCAGGTGGCATGTGCATGATAGTTGGATAGAAACGTGCGTTAGATTTGAATTTGTGAATGGCTCACTCAAATATGTGTGTGCGTGTGTGTGTGTCCGTGTGTGTAATGTGTTTTGTAGTGTATTTTGAGGATTTGCACAGCAAAACGGCATCAAGCGAATGGAAAGGTTATTTTGTAGCCTTGTTGCTGTTGTCATTTAACATTGTACTTGCCATGCGATTGTGTGTGTGTGTGTGTGTGTGTGTGTGCGTTGTGAGCGTATGAGTCTTATATGTAAATCTGTTTGTTTGTTTTCGTGTGCGTGTGTTTATTACGCCTAAGCTGCTCAGCGACGCAACACGATATTTATCCCCCCAACCCACACACGCTCACCCATTCACACACACTCGGACACCCCCTCACACACACACACAGGCACAGGCACATTCAACTGTGCTTTCCATTTTGTGCAGTTTTTATTTGTCGCATTTTGATTTCGATTCGATTTATGCAGCGTTTAGTATGCAACATTTTCATACGTTAGCCTTAATAAATCCCCAATGGCCGCACTTGTCAATATGCAGGCGGGCAGCTGCTGCTGCTGCTGCTGCTGCTTTGCCTGGCACCTATATAAGCTTATGCACACACATACACACACGTGCCGAACACACACATAGATGGTGCTTGTGTCGCGCTCTGCAATTGAAAATCACTGCGCCTTAGTTAACGACACGTTTGTGGATCAACGCGTTCACCAGAGCTCCAGCTGGCCCGCAGTCCCCATCCAGCCCCAATTGACCTCCACACATTGTTTGGGCAGAGCTTTGTTATTGTTGCTGCAGTTGCCAGGGTCACCGTCCATTTGGTACACGGAACTGGAGCTATAGCTGCTGCATCAGCAGCTGACATAAGCCAGGCAGCTCTTGCTGTATGCATAAGCGAACGCGGCTGCTCAGGATTCAAAAATACGCGATTTCTCCTCACATTATGCACATGCCAAACGGATCGACATGTGCATGCATGTGTGTGTGCGTGTGTGTGTGTGTGGCTTTCAGTTCGTTTCAATTTAAATTTTCTGTTAAAGGAAAATCATAATTTAAGTGCCGAGTCATAGATCATTTGCCTAAAAAATTGCTTGAGATATTAAAATTCGAATAGTTAATATCTATAGAATAAAAATATCTATAGAATAAAAAATAAATAAATAGGAACAATTTGTAAAAATGCTGCAGCTGATCTCTAAATTCATTTATTTATTTAATTTTTCGAATTATTGAATACATAAAATTATGATAATTAAATGCTAAAAGCCCAGTTAGTTACGACTATGTCCCATGTCTTCTAATTATTGTCTTTTTGAAAACATTGACACTATCGATGTCTCAGATATTGATGTTGTTTCAGCTCTACTTATTAGAATAACGAATTGTCTCAATGTATACCCATTCATATCTTTTGCTTTATTGCTGGGATATTGAATTGGGCGCAGAAATATCATATAAACCCCTCTAACTATAGAAGTATAGTTAATCTATAAATGATCCCGCCCAAATTAAGTCACTGCAATACTTTAAAAACGGCTTACCATTTAACAGATGCCTAGTGAAATATGCATATCACATGTAGAGAGAAAAAAAACTGCTTTCATCTTTAAGATCTCGATCTGTGCTTTTAAAAAATATGCATTACCTTGTGCCGTGTGCTTCTGTTCATGTCAATAATCCGGCAACCCCCAAAGCAGAAACCAACCCCCAACAAGTGCAGGGCCATAGTCTAATGCCCGTTACGGGTACCGGTACCGGTTACCGGCAACTGTTTTCCGTGTTCTGTGTTAAATCATCAGGAGTGTCGCCCAGCTTCCTGGTAATCAACAAATACAGAGGAGGCATTGCCACTGCGGGAGCGGAGGCGGGGGCGAAGGGCAGACGAACTGAAGGCTATTGTCGGCCGGTCGGTCGGTCGGTCGGTTTGTGGCACAAATTTCGCAATCAGTCGCAAAAGTAGCTGCAGTTCTGTGTAGATACAGATACAAATGCAAATACAAAATACATATGATGAACGGACTCAGGCTCCAGTGCCAAGTGCCAGGTCGGAGGCAGAGGCGGAGCGGGCGCGGCTGCAGCTTAAGTGTTAAGCGTTAT